TTCGACCTTGACTTGCTATTGGTGAACATCCTGATCGAACACACACACACACAACTTCAACGGGCGCGGGTTGGCGGGGCGGGGGCGGGGTGGTGCCCCCGGGCAGCAGCGGGGCGGGGCGCGCTCAGGCGTATGGCGATGGATATTGATGTGGCTGGACCGTGCCGGACTTGGTGTGCTGCTAACGCCCCTGCTGGGCCGGCCGTGCCCCGTCGTGTTTGGCAGGTGGAGTTCGTCCGCTTCGGCCAGGGTCTAAAAGTGGACACGATTGAGCGCGGCGACGCCCCCACCTCGCTGGCCACTTCCGGCCTCTTCAAGCGCGCGCCCTGGGAGCCCATGTGCTTCTACCCGGACTTCAGCCAGGAGGTGGTGTGCGGCGACTCGTGGGGCGACTCGCGCCTCATCGTCGCCAACGAGCAAGGCGTGTTCGTGGTGACCAACGACGAGCACGCGGCCGGCTCGGAGGCGCTGTCGCAGCGCACTATCATGGACAAGACGGTCGTCGTGAGGCAGCTGCACGTCGTGGAGGCGCACGGCATCCTGCTCTTCCGCACGGACAAGATGGGTGAGTGCCTAGTTGTTGTGTCACGCACAAAGTACCGCCATATTTTTATTTTTAATGCGTGGGGTATACTTTTTTGTACGCCTTTTTGATTGGGATTGGGGTTGATCGTATGAGCTTTTAAGACGCCATAATTTAATTACCTCACCAGTGGAAAAAAATATCTGAAAGGGATAGATTTTCCATGGAAGAGCCGTGGAAAATGTACCCCTCCCTTGAAACTTCTCCGGGGCTGGCCGACGCGACGTATATAATCTGATGATAAATTGGGATGCATTTGCCATGGAAGGGCCGTGGGAAAAAATACACCAGGGGCTGACTGACGCTTTCGCCGCAGGTCGCGACAACAAGCTGATGCACGTGTTCCGGCTGTCGGACTTCGAGCAGCCCAGCGAGGCCGAGGCCAAGGCTGAGGCCAAGGCCGTCGGCGTGCCGCTGGGCCGGGCCGAGATCAAGGAGCACCGGCTCGAGCGCACCCGCGGCTGCCACCTGTACGCCGTGTCGAGGCCCGGCGGCTCGCACCTGCGCGTCGTCGTGGCCATCAAGAACAAGCTGCTCGTCATGCAGTGGAGGCACTCGGCCGCCTGGACGGCATGGTGTCCGGCCTCGGACACGGACACGGTGGAGGGCTTCCAGTACCTCAGAGTGAGTAGTACGGAGCCGTTAGAAACCACGCGGGCAAGGGGGGGGGGGTACAAATATAACGGGGTCCCAAAAGGATCAGGACCATTATTTGCAGTCCAAGGAGGTCTCGTGATATTTGTACGCCTAGGTAAAAATATCATGGGTCTCCTTCAACTCCATTGACCGTCCTGATGCTTTTGGTTCCCTATAATATTTGTTCCCCCCATTGTCCACGTCACGGTGTAGAGAGGCTGTGATCCTCGTCGTTTCTGAACGGCGGCCCCGTCGCCCACAAGGCTTCGCACGCATTTGTCTCGGACTCGTCCCTGAACACACCTTGTGCCTTTCCTCCGACAGGAGATCACGGTGGCCGAGTCCCCCTCCCTCATCACGCTCGTGGACTCGACCCTGGGTGGCTCGGCCGGCGGCGCCGACAACTACATCTGCGTCGGCTACCGGCACCAGTTCGACCTGGTCGGCGAGCGGTCCGGGGAGGTCGTCAAGCTGCACGCCGTGGAAGGGTCGCGGTCGCACCTCGTGGCCGCCGTCGACCTCTACGAGGACGAGGAGCCCGAGCTGCTGCTCTGCTACAACCGTGAGTGCCCCGGGGGGTCGTACTGATGTCCCCCACTCAAACTGACATCAATATGACGTCGCTCTCTGGCCGTTGCGTGCTACTTGCGCGGATCATCCCCTCCCCTCCACCTCCGCCGCCCTTCTCTCTCTCACACACACGGGTTGTTTATGGTGCGTTCCGTCCTTGCAGACACCTGCCACTTCCAAAAACTTTCGGAGAATAGGACGACAACCGAGTTCGACTTCCACTGGAACTCTGTTCCGTGTGCAATCGGTAAGGTTTCAACGCTGCTCTTTTGAAAATTCAAAAGGACAGTCACTTTTCCTCACGGCAAATATTCTTTGTTTCCATTCATTTTATTTTTCATTTCTTTAATCTACTATTTTTTTTGCAGTTTGTGCGTTTCCCTACATTATTGCGTTCACCCAAGACTCTATGGAGATACGTCTGGTGATAAACGGCAACCTGGTGCAGACCATGGTGATGCCCAAGCTGACCCTCATCACATCCAAGGTAACGAATAGGAAATAGGAAACAAACATATTTTGAATAAAAGATGGTGTGCCCAACGATAAACCATGTCGAGTGTGAGCGCGGCGTGTACCCCGTGGAGAGAGGTTACTCACCAACGCGATCGCGATGCTTTTTTCAGAACGACATCTTCTTCGCGACCACGGCCCCCGAGTTCTTCCCCTCCCGCACCGAGTGCCTGCACGTGGACCACCGGGACAGCACCAAGGACACCATGTCGCCGCCCGCATCACCGCACAGTGAGTACCACCCCCACACCATAAGCGTTTGAATGGTTGCCTACCTACCAGTGGTACGTCGGGTGCTGGGCTGCGTATGGTGGTTGACGTGGTGCTTGGTGCGTTTGCAGCATCCTCGCCCGAGGCGCGTCCGTTCCGGCTGTACCGCATCCCGCTGCACGTCCTGAGCGGCATGGTGGCGCCCGTGGACCGGCGGTGTCCGACGCCGTCCCCGGAGCCCCCCGCCAGCGGCTGCCCCAGCGGCTGCCCCAGCGGCTCCGGTTCCCCCGCCGCCGCCACCACCCCCAACTCCAGCAAGGGCGGCCTGGGGGCGGCGGGCGGCG